ACTTCTGATAGGTGGAACAAATATACGTTGACAGTAGTACTCAAAGCCATGTTGGTTGATCAGCTGTATCTTTGAATGTAAAATAATATAAGGTCTTATCTGTAAATCCATGAAAATCTACATATTTCCCGTTTCCAAATTACATGTTTATGTTGATCATGATCATGTGGAAAGGTTTGCAATAGTAAAACAAGGCCATATAAGAGATTTTATTTTAAATTTACAATATTCAATAGACTAGATATATTTCTATGATAGTATATAAAAACATCATCAACCATATGCTTAATCTTAATGTCATGCCAAAGAAATCACATATATTCACAAGTCAGAAGAGATGGATATAACATTGTAAACAAAACTTTTAAAAAAAATCACTTTTCAAACTGGAATGGTAAATTATAACTTTTTGTCAATATCCAAAATTTTTCAATAGTGCACAATCACAAAATAATTTTCTGTACAGATGGAATACCTGCCAACTTTTTGGGGCTTCATAGCGGGAGATTTCCCTTTATCCACCTCTACTAAGAGGGGGAGATTATGTGTCATGACCTTTTTTCAATAAAAAAATGGTTGCATATATCTTAATTTTCTTCTTAAAATATTGATATGAGGAAGTTACAACAACAACAAAAATTTAGGAATGAGTGATAAATTTTTTTATGTTCATGTTATACATAATGATCACTTTATCATTCCATTATTTAAAGCAAATTAATTTCATCCTCTGTTTTTAATTTTGGCAACAAGGTGATCTAACCAGAACCAGAGACATATAATGCAATATATTGGTAATTAAGCTAAATTTGGTGATATCACACAGCACTTAAAATTCCACTGATAATGGTGAAGGACCATTAAAAATCTTCTATTTTTTAAAGCAAAAAAATATTTAAATAAAAGCTTCAATACCCTATCAAAATTCTATTAGATTTTCATGTTTTATAACATCATATACGTACTATCTAAACAAAAAAAGAACAAAAGGACGACTGTTGATTCTTTTATTTTCATGGGTCCCAATTTTCGTGGATTGAGGAAACATTGTATTTACATGAATATTTGATTTCGTGGTTTTGCCAAATGCTACAAACAAGCCTATAGAAAACTTGTACGTCAATGAACTTTTAAATCTGTCATTCACCTATACCCAAGAAATTTACGAAGATTGACATTTCACAAATAATAAGAAATCCACAGTATTAACCATACCAACACAATCCTTTGTTCTGTGACTTGATTGAATTTTCAGTATCTTGATTGTCAATTTTTGACTTTCACTAATCTGACATAAAATCTTTATTTTAAAAGAAACATATTTCAAGCCTCTTAAATCATATCTGGAAAAATTCTAAAAATGTGAAAAAAAATAAATTATATGTCAGTACAGAAAAAAATTAGTTTGAAAATAATGAGAGAGATGTATGCTGATTCAATACTGTAAATTAAAAAAATATTATGAGGTTTTTATTAATTAAGGTGAATAACTGCACTTGTATGCAGATTTTCCTGAAATCGCAATAATTATTCTCACATTCTTGTCCATTCTTAAAAAATTGCAGTAATAAATGCACGCAATAATTTCTAAATTTACAGTAAATCTTATGGCCATCAAATGCATGGAGATGCTGATCACTTGCATTATATTTCTCTGTCAAAACAATATAAAATTGAAAAGTGCAATCTTTTTTATTTTAAATAATTCAAATGTGGCATTTCTTAGAATTGAAGATAAACCATCTCATAGAAGTCTAACTATCTAAAATTTCATAATTCTTTTGATTAAATATACAATATTTTCATGATTCATGACATTCATTTTCATCTGTATTGTAAAGTTTAATAGTGAAAATGGTATATACCCTGTCATCTAAGGAACAACCTACAGAAATAACTGCTGAATCAGCTTAAATGGAATGCATCTGTATAAACCTAACAAATGCTCTAAAACAGCAAAAATATAATATAATAATTCATATATATATAAAACAACATATTAGATAAACAAAATTAATATTATAATCATAATAAATCATAAAAATTAAAACTAAAAAGTTAAAGCTAGCACAAAATCACAGTTAACATATAATAACAATGATTTCAAATAATTCATTGAGGCTTGAAACACTTCAAAGAGCCAATAGTTATTAAAATCTCTATACAAAAAAGCCAATATATAAAATATCTTTACAAAAGAGCCAATAGATATAATCTCTTTACAAAAGAGTCAACACTTAAAATCTTTTAAAACAAAATCTAGATTCATTTGTCATGGATTTCATGTTCACACATTAAGATGACATAATACTGTTTAAAGTAATATCAAATTCAAAATAAGTATCAAAGAGATTTATTATAGTCTAAAAGGTAACCCTGGAAAAGCTACAGAACTATTTACTAAAATAATTTGCAGTAGGTGTGTTAAGGCCATATTTTGCATATGAAATCTTCAAAATGAAGTGGTACAAAAGTCCAAAAAATGGACCAAGAATAAAAATTCCCGTAAATATTGTCTAATCAAAATGACCAGTATGGTTACAAATACAAACAACCCTACTAAGTATCCACTAATTGATCAATGGGGTGATGATGACGGATGGCTCTTTAACATCCATTGATTAATGGGACCATACCAACTATTATAAACAGCTGTCTGATCATTTTAGTTCAAATGGAAAGGAGGTAGATCTCTACATTATAATTGTTTTTGCTCTATTAGATTTTCTTTATCTACATTGATTTTTTAAATATTAGACAATACCTGCCTGCATTTTACCATTATGTTCTATTTTTTTTACCCTGATAGCCATGCTTGTTGATGGAATAGAATAAAGTTTACAAACTTAAATCTCAATTCTCTAAGAATTCAATCGCATTATATTTTTTTAACTCTGGTTTGATAGTTTTGGAAGGAAAAAAAATGACGACAGAAAATGAACACCAAGTGATGGCAAAAGCTCATATGGGTATTTGGCAAGCTAAGATAAAAACCAATATATTCTTTGACAATCTGGGCAAGAATGCTGTTTTTACATCAACTGACAAATAAAATAATAAATGTTGGGTGAAAAGTATAAATGTTGAAATTTAAATCAAAATTCTGTCTTTATAAAAATTATCTAATGACTGGAAAAAAAACAGAAGTATAGGTAACAATGAAGGTTTAACAATGGATTTCTTCATGTATATCACAATTATTTTTCACAAGCTATCTTTAAATATAAATATAAACTTTTTATATATCATTTCAAAATATAAATTAGAAAAAAATACAATGTATATGAATATAAACAATTTGTATCTCAATACTTAAAAAATATTTTAAAGGCACTGACTAGAAATAAATTATTTATCATTAAAAGTTGTAAATATGTAGACTAGATATTGTCAAATGCTGATGTGTACAAAATATAATACTTTGGTATCATGCTTTTTCACAAAAAAATATGTTCTACCTAGTTAATCAATAATGACTGAATTGAATAATAAACTTTTACCCCAAACATGCCAATGGAGAAGTTACAATAAGGTCAGTTATTTGGACCCTTGATTTTGAGAAAGAAAAATCAAAAGTATCATAAACTTATCATATATTCAGATTTTATGGCTTCCAATTTTATTTCCGTATTTAATGCAAAAATGCAAAAACTGCCAACATAGCCTCATTTTCAGATCTTGTTAGTAATATTTAGGTACAATTTTGATGTGAGTAAAATATCTTTCTGGGTAAGGCCTTGGCTTTCATTTTTTAATTTGCACAAAAAATAAGTGTAAAAAAGCCATTTAAGGCCAAATATGTAAATTTCAACATGTTTATAACATCATAGTGATGTTACATGTGACTTTTCTGCACCTTAGTGTCCAGATTACATCAACCTATTCATTTATCAATAAAATAAACATAATTTTGAAAGGCTTGAGTAATTATACAAAATTTTCAATACCAACGGCAGACCAAATAATGGCTCTTATTGTACGTCTGTCTTTCTCGTCATCAAATATAGTCAATTTGTCCATTGCTGCAGTAACTATGTATAAAATTCAGGGCTTCCAAAAAATATTTGAGCCTGCCGGATATTTTTTGTGTTATTCCTAATTTAATCCCTTAAGACTTAGTAACAAAAGGCAATCATGGTAATCAGTTGAGCATTATATAAACAATGATTTACATTAAAACTCAGGAATCTGAAATTTTATCAATTAAACATGAAAAATTGGTCAAATATGAAAGAGCTCATCTCTCTGTTCTTTCATATTTGACCGATTTTTCACATTTAGCCAAGCTCATCTCTGTGTTCTTTCATATTTGAACAATTTTTCACGTTTAATAATAAAATTTCAGATTTCTGTGATTAAAACGATATCAAACTTGACTTTTGATCTAAATTCGGTGTTCTGACGAAAACTGATAAATTGACAGTACATCATACGAAGTGTGCAACATCAGTGTACTTATATCTGTCTTTCACTCTTTATTTGAGCATAATTACGCTGTCAAAAACTTTACTTTAGTTTTTAAAAAGTACATTTTCCTTATACCGGATGCTGACTTAACAATGGTAAAACATGTACCAGAGACGGATTCGTAACCCGTGTAGGACAGGCAAGTCACAATAGAGATTAAGTACATGTAGCTCTTTCCAAGTCATTTCTTCAAGAAAATACTCAAAATTTACTTTAGATAAAGGTATCAATGATAATTTTGCATTTTAAAAATATTCAGATGCATAATAAAATCTCATACCTGCGCATATGCACACATGTGTACTAGTTTAAACAACATGGTTCTGACAATTTTTTGCTTAAAACCTTTATTACTATCTTTTAAAATTTTTCATCAAATTATATTTATATACATATTTCTGATAATTTAAATCTTTTTGACAGAATTAATTAGCTGCAAACCGCTGAAATTTAAGGAAATAACTTTAAATTGACCGATCAATGTCCAGTACAAAATAGTAACCTGCCGCCTGAACAAGTAAATTTAACTGTCAGACAAAGTGGGTTTTGTTTTTATAGTACTTATTCATCATGTCACTTTTATGACTGGAAATGTGTGGTTGCTTAAGGCAAAAAGTCAGGTCAAAAAGATCGCAAAAAAACTCATATTTTCTGAATGATGTTAAAATAACAAACCCACATTATAAGTCCGTTTCAGGCTTGGCAGAACAAGTAAAAAATATAACTTAACGGTCAAGTCTGACATTACAACCATTTTGGAAGCCCTGATAAAATTATAACAATTTCTTTGCAGACGATGGACTAAAAATAGTCTGCCATTTCTATAATTCTTGTATCTCTGATCTACTTTACTTTATAATTATTTTACATGGTTTGCAAATTCTTTATGCAGAAAACAATTTTAAATTCTGATTCTTCCTAAATTGTTTAGTCCTGTTCCATCACATGATTAAATATTAATAAGACAGCAAACCAACAACAAAAAAAGACCAAAATAAACATCTAGAGGGCACCATAGCTATCAATGATGGCCAATCATCCACAATTTATGGCAAGATCTAGCCTTTTTTAATAAATAAAGTAAGACAAAGGCACATTTGATTTTTGTAAATTTCACAACCTGATTCAAACATTTTGATTTGAATGTTACATTGAGCAATATTACAATTTTTGTATACAAAGTTACTGTTCTGCTATTATTTTGATTCAGTTAACCTCTCAGAGACTTCCCATATCTTTTTACACAAACCTTCATCATAAGCTTGTTTACTTATGTATATAGTGCGTTCATAGTCCTTACAATCCATATAATAATGTCCTGACACACCCTTTAGATCCTCACTGATAGCACAATATATAGTAGTCTGGGCACCTTCTTCACAAGTCTGTAAATACATCAATCAGTGATAATATTGATACAGAAGTAATGTTGATTAAAAGCATGCAAGGAAGATGACAAGTAAACATTCACAAGTACATGTCACTGAAGTAAACATTCACAAGTACATGTCATTGAAATAATCATTCACAAGTACATGTCATTGAAATAAACATTCACAAGTACATGTCACTGAAATAAACATTCACAAGTACAAATGTACATGTAATTGAATTGAACATTACAAGTTCATGTCACTGAAGTAGACATTCACAAGTACATGTCACTGTTGTAAGCATTCACAAGAACATGTCACTGTCATAAACATTCACAGGTCAAGCCACTGAAGTAAAAATTCCCAAGTACATGTCACTGAATTAAACATTTACAAGTAAATGTCACTGTAGTAAACATTGGCAAGTACATGTCACAGTAGTAACCATTAACAAGTACATGTCACTGAAGTAAACATTCACAAGAATGTCACTGAAGTAAACATTCACAAGTACATGTCACTGTGGTAATCATTCACAAGAACATGTCATTGAAGTAAACATTCACTTGTAAATGTCACTGAGGTAAACATTCACAAGTACATGTCACTGTAGTAAACATTCACAAGAACATGTCACTGAAGTAAACATTTGCTTGTAAATGTCACTGAAGTAAACATTCCCAAGTACATGTCCCTGTAGTCACTGTAGTAAACATTCACAAGTACATGTCACTGTAGTCTGTTTTAAGTATGAGATGTACTACTTTAAATAACAATTCCCACTTCAGTGTTATTAACTGGCTGTTTGTGTATTGGCTTTAGTACAGATTTGAGCTTAGCCGTTTTATTCTTGAGACTTAAGGAATAACTTATAAAACAGCTTGTGGGTGCGTGTTATACACAACTGCGTACTATACAGGCTATATACTGTAACATTGTCATATAGAATATTTTGATACTTTTAAACTATGTATTAACATTAATAAAAGATATGATAAATTCCGTTAGATTTTACATCAGATTTATACAAAAGTTGTTTACCTTTTTCCCTATCTAAAATAGTGATTTGTTATTTCTCTGACAAAAAAAAATACAGTTTATTTTTTTAAAGTTTTTTTTACAAAATGCCATGAACCATCAAACACAAATGTATATTCAGTGTTAAAAAGTTATGGTTCTTTATTCTTAAAGTTTGATATTTTACTAATGAGGTCAATGATTAATCAGTTCCATGATATTGGGTGTTTAACACCACTTTCGGTACTACAATGTATTGGCTATTTCATGGATGCAAGTTTTTATTGGTGGAGGAAGCCTGAGTGCCCATAGGAAACCATCAACCTTCAATAGGAAACTGGCAATTCCGGTCAATTAAGATTGGTGTCAATCAGTTGCATGATTTATTGTGCACATACAATTTACTTAATCTCCCATTTTATAAATTTGGGTAATTTCTGTATTATAGAAACAATATTAACTTCAAACAGTTTTTGGCTACCTTTTTAAGCCCTCATATATCTATACATCATTTGGTTTCCAAACTTCGAGCTCAGATAATTCATGATGGCACCCCTCTCCTCCCAATAAAAAAACAAAACAAAAAAAAATAAAAATAAAACACAGATTCAAAACATCATAATGCTGTAAAATAAAGATGTGCGATGAATTCCATTTCATTTATTAATCAAGACAAATGCTCAATAGCAATCAATCTGGTATGTTTAAACTTAATGATAATATTTCTACACTCTATTTACCTTGAAAAAGAGAAGTCCCATAATTTGAAATGGTATTCTTACATACACAGGTATGTTTCTAAGAAGTTCTGTACGAACTGATCCAGGATGAAGACACGATGTTGTCACACCTGAAATTTGATAGGATAATTAAATTAATTCTAATGATGTAAAAATTCTAATGTTTTTCCTTAACTATATATATGTATGTAAAATCTGACAAATCATTATCTGTTTACAAAGTGCACAAACTACACAATGTTATGTTTCAGGTATTTAATTCAAAATTAATGATTGGATTCAAGTTAATTTTGATTGAAACATTTTATAATGGTATAAATACTTTTGACAAGCCTCATATTTTAAATTTGAAAATTTAGCTGTCTAAAGTGGTAGAATCTATATATTACAAAAACAACATACGATAGACTCAATGGTATATCTCCCTATTGAAAATTTTCTGACAAGGGAGGTCACTCAATGAAAATTGAGTCTGACACCTATGATAATAGAAATTCATTCCCTTGAATGATTTAGTAAACTGACAAGAATGAAAAACAGGTGTCTGCCGTTTTGAAAATACAACTCTTTATTTTGTAAATGCACTTACAGGCAATAAAAATATAAATGGATAAGTATATTCTTCATAAAACTGGTTTGTTCAAGTGTCAGATATTAACAATTCATATTGAACAAAACTTTGAGAGATAAATAATTACTTACTGGTTCCTTGTAATTTTCTTGCTAGCTCTTTGGTAAACATTATATTTAACAGCTTAGTATCATAGTACGTTCCAGCAATGCTGTACTTTTCCCCATTTAAAGTATCAAAGCTGACATTCCCAAACATATTCACTATAGAAGAAACATTCACTATTCTACTGTTTGGAGTCTTTTTCATTAAATCTAAAAGGCAATAACAAGAACAAATGCAATGAAAACTATTTATGTAATAAATAAGTACAAGAATGTGTCCATAGTACACGGATGCCCAACTCGCACTATCATTTTCTATGTTCAGTGGACCTTGAAATTGGGGTCAAAACTCTAATTTGGCATTAAAATTAGAAAGATCATATCATAGGGAACATGTGTACTAAGTTTCAAGTTGATTGGACTTCAACTTCTCCAAAAACTACTTTAACCAAAAACTGACAGATTGAACTAAATCTAAGTATCAAGAGCATTTAGACTTTTTTTTTTAGTCATATACCAACTATTGCAAAATTTAAAAAAGGGAGGTAATTCATAATTTGAGTACAACAGAGAAATGCAAAATAAATGTAAGTTTGGCTAATATATTTTGCACATGATCAAAGTTCATCTAACAAGTTCTTACAGTATTTCTGATATTTTTTAAAATATATATAAAAATGAAAAGAAATTAAGTAAATGGACATGAAACTAATAAAAGAAAAAAATCAGGAAATCAAACTGAACATAAGGAAATCTTTTATCAATGTCATTTCCTTGCTGAGAAGAACAAGCAAAAGATAAAAGAATTTCTTAAATGAAAGGGAGATAACCAGATCTTGAATCTTAGATTTTTCTAAAAAACTGTTTCCTCTGTAATGAAATTCACAACATCCAAACATCATTGACATAAAAAATAATCAAGAATTTTTTAAAATGTTAAAAAGTATTCTCATCCTTGATAAAAGATCAATGGAAGAAACTTTTTCTTCCATTAAACCAGATACATTGTTTTCATACACTACAGATTTATTGGTTGACTGTAACTCAATTTGTTTTAATGCTTAAATTATGATGTTAAATAATTTTCTATGTTTACAAATGAAATGTTGTAACAAAGCAATGTGTTAGTTTGAATGGTAGATCACCTCTCATGAAACTTTCCAAAATTCGAGATTTCCCTTGCAAAACCTCCGCTTAAGTTAGAAAAAACTTATTTTTTTAAACACAATAATTTGTTGAAACTAACTTAGATAGGTCTCATCTGTGTGAAATTTGATAGTTTAATTCTAATGTTGAAACTTTTTTAACATGTAAAAGTTCCAAGGTCAATGTACCATGACTAAGGGGTCAGCTAACCACAAACTTTATCTACAAAATTGGTACATCTATTCTATATCATGACATCACAAGACACAGATCTGAGGAAAGGACACATATTTGATGCTGGACAAAGGGCTACAAATTTGAGAATCATGACACATGGGACACAGATCTGAGGAAATGGCAGATATTTGAGGTTGGACAAAGGGCCACAGCTTTGAGTGTGATGATATCATGGAACACAGATCTTAGGATAGGACACACTTTGAGGATGGATAAAGGTCCACAGATTTGAGTACCATGACATCATGGGACACAGAACTAATGCTGGATAAAGGGCAACAGGTTTTAGTGTTATGAAGTCACAGGACACTAATTTGAGGTAAGATCACAGATCTGAGGCTGGACATAGATTTGACTCTTACATACATATTGGTGTCCCTATAATAATCTTACCTAATAACAAGTTAGTCAATAAGAATGGCCCAAGATAGTTTGTTGCATAACTATATTCCAAACCTTCTTCTGTCATGGTTTTCTTCATGCCTGTTTATATTAAGAGAAGTCTAAATTACTGTGTTTGAGCTGTGATTTTATCAATATCTTTAAATAGATTTTAAACAATAAGAAGTACTCTTACTGATATAATTATACAGATTGAGAATGGCACTCATAAAAGAGCTGTTTTACTTTCAATTATATTTTCAAGAGCATATGAATCAACATGAGAATTTTGTCCAACTTCTTCTTTTATTGAATTTTTCATAGTTTTCTGCTAGTTTTTCATGCGCATTACAGACATACTAAAACTTTTTAAATGTAACCCTACAAGATATAAAGCATATGGCTACATTCCCTTACTTGTGTTTCATATTTTCAATGTTAAAAGAGAGCTATTTTTTTAAGAAGTTTAATACTATAACGAGTATGTGCTAGATCATTGTAAATGTCTATACTGTGGTCTATATGTTTTAATTTATATTTTTGTATGATGCTTAATGTTGGATTGCTTTCTCATTAAGATATATCTCATTTCTCTTCTTATCAGTATATATAACCATACCAAGACAACTGATCAATACATTGTATAAGTCATTTATTACGAAGTACTGACTTGCCATTGATAAGACTATATACAGTCTGTTTTATTTTTATTTTAAGGAAGAAAAATTGAAATGAAAGAGTTGAGACAATGCAATAAATATCTGTATTTTGCTTTGTTCTGACAGATCTTTTTTTTTATATCTAGATAAAAGAAACAATCTAACCAAGCAGATATTTCATTTTGTTGAAAAAAAAAGATATTTTTATGTTGTTTGTTTTATATCTAAATTTAAAAAAATTCAGTGAAACTATCAAATCTAGTTGACTAATTCATTTGATGGTGTTGGACTTATGTGTATCAATTCATGAAGAGGATTAAGTGTAAGTCATTTTGATAAAAACAAAATTTTGAAAGTTTTAGATGTTTTCCTTTTTTTTGGTTATTTCTGAAAAAAATATAAGTGTAAATAATGACTCTTGCCTGAAACTGCTGCATTGTTTACCAGAATGTCCAATCTTTTCTCTTCTTTTATAAAATCTTCAGCAAACTTTCTTACCGATGCCATTATACTGAGATCTATAATCTTCACAAGTACATTTTGGTTGCCTGAGGTTTCTTTAATTGTTTTACAAGCTGCCTCTGCCCTTTCTTTGCTTCTACATGCAAGAATCACACGACCTTTACGTCTGGCAAAACTTAGGGCTGTTTCATATCCTATACCTAAATTTCAAAACATTATTTTGTTAGAAAAGACACACATGATACTTTAAACATGTTTTTATTCAGTTTATGCAAGATATATGATAACAATAGATAAAATAAGCAGTTTTAATAGTCATAACAATTCAAATTTTATCAAATTTTAATCAATCAAACAAAAATATCTTTTTAAGTAATAGTGAGTAAAAGCTTCATAAAAGAACAAACTTTGGTACCCTAAAAATTTTTTTTTTTCTTTCCAAAATTTTCCAAAAAGGTGACATATTACATGTAAGTGTGCACCTTAAATATAGAAGCATGTTGACTGCTAAATATTGTACCTTCACTGGTTATTACATTTGAAATTTTTTTTATTAAAACTTTGATAATAAAAATATGCCTAGAGTAAAATCTGTAATATTTTTTTTATCTAATGCTGACCTGTGTTGGCTCCAGTAACTATTATTGTTTTCCCTTCTAATGATGCTGTACTGTTGCATTTTCCCTTCAGTAGCTGGACAATAATATATACCACAAGTAATACTGTACTGATGGTCACAAACCACAATGAATAATCCATCCTCTTAAAAAAGGGGGGATAATCCTGCAAGGTAAACAATTCCAACATTAAGTTAATTGACAATACAAAAACATTTACTGCAAAACATTAAAACAAATTAAAAACCACTGGTGGCAGGTGCATTCATATACAATCTAAATTGACTAGGACTGCCAGTTTTCCGGTTGAAAGTCGGTGGTTTTCTCTGGGTACTCCAGCTTCCTCCATCAATAAAAACTGTTCACCACAATATTGCCACAAGTGCTGAAAGTAGCCTTAAACCAACAATCAATCAATTAAAATAGTAAAATCAGAATACATGATTGCTGTTATATGCTAATATCCTAAAATATTTATAAAATTACAAATAATTAGAAATGAGCTTTTCAATCACATTTTATATAAAGTACAGTATTAAACTTACATCCAAACAATAATGGAAGCTGTCTTATTCAGCAACATTAAAAAACTAAGGTTAATACCCTCCTTCTCAAGTTCTCCCACACAATCAGCATTTTCTAATATGTTGAACGTGTTAAATGTCAATTTCATGAAGAAAATTTATAAAAATTGTTCACACTTGTTATATCCTTTTTTGTAATGATGTATATTAATTTTTAGTAACTTATAAGCTTCTTAAGATATTTTCAGAAAATCCTGAAAAATCTGTGTATCAGATATGCTACAGGGGTAATACTTATTTAAATTTTTTATACACTTGAAGATTTAAGCAATACTTACTTGAATAAGTACATTTGTCAGATTAAATTTTCTTTCTAATGACTACTGTTTTAAACAATCTCCCTCACATTACTGCAAAAATTTATTTATACAAGTAGTTATTTTTTAATTACCCCTTAAATTCTCAAATTCAGGGAAGTCAAATAATACTTCAAATATTTTTACTGAACTGTGAATGATATTTTGAAACCATGCAGTGTTCGATTTTGTATCAAAAGAACTTTGCAAAGAACTCTACTACACTCAGATGTCAAAAACTGTGCAATGTCCTTAAAAATTATTCCCTGGAAGATTTAAAATAGATATTATATATGAAAATAACAGACAAAGTAGATTTTCATTGTCTCTTGAGTTGTACATTTTTTTACTTTCATGAATAGTAAAGACAGCTATTGAAGACAGAAAATTAAACACTGAGTTACAGTAATGTAATCAAGAGAAGACCAAGACAAAAAGAAAAATGTGACTTTCTTTATTATAGTTTTGAATACGGTATATGACTTATTTGAGTTGGAGTTATTTCCCCTTGGTTGCATGTTGTCCTGTTGGGAGGTGAAACTGATTGATTTTCTTATTTGACTAACCAAATTCAAAAATGTGGTAAAAGCAAGTCTGAGAATGAACCAAACTAGATTATAGTGATGAATTATCCAAGGCTTAAAAATTCAAAATTCTTCAGAAAACATTTTTTTCTAAAGTCTAGTGGTCAGTTTAACAAGTTAAATTTGGTTGACTTAAGAAGAAATTGGTGCATATTATAAAAGGGTAATAACTTTTACTTAAATTACGCAAATAACAAGTTATCAATTTAGGTTAAAAAAATATCTAAGGGAGATAACTCTACCTCAAAAATTAGTTACTTTTACCAAAAAACAAATTTTCCTTGGAGAAGTATTACCCCTGATCATGTTGACTGTATGCAGAAGTACAGCAAAAAAAATAAATAAAATAAAATGGAAAGATTTTGGATTACCAGTCTTATAGTCTACACTTAAGAATAAACTTTCCTACTGTAATTGAGACTCATCTCTTATTGTCATAAATTCCAATTCAATTCAATATTTTTTTCTATAGTATTGATATAGATAACATACATTGATTGTGTCTATAAAGGATTGATATTTGGTGAGACAGCCTGATGATCCCTTAATTATAGTCAAGGGTGCCCTGTATGTACATACAGGTCGAATTTAGTTCTATTTCAGAATTAATGTTAATTCTTTAGACAAATGAGGTAGTGAATGGGGTACCCAATATGAGGATTAATGGAAACATTAGCGATAATCATTTTTTTATCTGTTTACTTTTACAGTGATGTGTTTAGTGAATAGGGGGCATCTGACACTTGACGATAAAGGCCATTCATATCCTCATAAATATTATGAATGTTAATGGATGAGGCAAAAGAAAAGGAAAAGGGTAATCATCTCCTCTTAAACAAAAGTACAGAGTTCCAATGTCCTCCACCTTGCACATATTTTATTTGTTCAAGGGAATAACTTAAAAAATATTTTTTGGTTTAAAAAACGTTTCATAAATATCTATAAGAAATTAAGGGTGAAAGCCCTTGCAATGCAATTTTCCATATAATTAATATTTCCAAGGGGCATACCAATGGCACTTTTCAAAATAGTTGATGATCAGCACTGATTTTCAAACTAGGCCAAGGTATTGCTGATATACACCTCTGATATAAGTTTCAAAAAAATCTGGCAAGAATTTTACAAATGAGAGAGCTTACAATGCAATTTTTCATACAATTTATATTTCCAAGGGGCATAACTCTTTTAAAAAAAAGGTGATTAGCACTGATTTTTGAACTCGTAAGTCACATTGCTGATATAATCTCTGATATAAGTTTAATCAAAATCTAGCAAGAATTGTACATGTGAGAACAATACATGACCAGCAGACAGACACACAGACATGCACTTGGGATTTCTATATCCCTTGCATTTTGCAACACGTTGGGTAGGGGACAATTTGGAGGGTGTATCACGAACAGGTCTTTTGCACATATGTGTCAGTGCCACATTGTTACAGGTAATTTTATACACTGATCCTCAATTATGTACACTTGTATACTTAAAATAAGGGAAATTTATGCTTCAGCAGTTTAGTTTTATTCTTATTTTAAGTTGGTGCTGGGAACAGTATATCTAACGGGAAATGAATCTGATACGCTTTTCAGTATAAAATTGATAAAATCTCGGACTCCCCGAGACTTCCCGAGATTTACGGATTTTGGTAGCGTCTGACTGAAAAACTATCAGAACTGCTCAACAAATAAACCACATAACTCTACTTGTAAATAAATACAAGTTTTATCATTTAGTAGATATATTTTGTCATATAAAATTACCAAAATAAGTTTGATTTATTTGATGTGAAGTGTTTTATAATAGTTTGGGAATTTGTAAATCATCGCGGCAATGGCCGCCATTTTTTTATTACCTGGTTGGCATTCTGCACAATTCTGTGATGAAATGCTTTCGATTTTAACAAATTTGAAGTGACAGAATACAAGTTTGATACACTAGCATCACTGTAAAACTAGTTTGAATGACATTTTATTGATAACATCAGAAATTATTAGGATAATAGCGAGTCCGTTTTTAACACATGTCCGTTTCTGTATCGTATCTTTATTAACTATGGCACGACGATAAAATCTACTACATTCAGGTAGTGTCAAGTCCCGTCAATATATATGTTCCTGGTTGGTGACAACGTTTGAACTTAACGAATTTTTTATCTGAAATCAATTTTTATTTCTTTGAACTTTCAAAACTACCTGCAAATTAAGGATTTAAATGAATATCTTGTCTTTTCCTTTAAAGGCAATGAGAAATCTTTCTATGGCCAATTTTTCGGTAATAGGTTAAAATGCCCCTTACAACATCAAATAATTAAATGTAAACAATAATGAAATACATTTAGATACTGTTTTTTCGCCAACTTGAAAAGGCTGATCAAAATTAACCTGATCAGGATCTGATATAAATAAATGATCAAACGAATAAAACACTTAAGAACTCCAATATCTAAATATATGTCATTGTCTTAGGCGGCATACCATATTGGAACTTCCTGCAATCTGTCACCACAGTGCCAAACGTTTATATTTATGTGTCTTTCAGAAACTAGAAGAGCTGCTTAGCTCAGTTCGGTGTCAAACAGTATGGGAAACCACAATTCAAACCATTCTGGGAAAGGTAATAGTTTATGTATCTTTATTTCTATTTTTTTTTTGGTGGGAAAATTTAAGCGGTCACAAGACACAACCCCCTCATTGTCCAGTTGCATGATCTTGTCTCCAGTTGTTGGAAAGAGTGCCACCACCAGTTCCTGTACACTTGAATGTTTCAGGACCCACCTACATTAGAACTAGACTGTCATCCAGTATTTTTCTCAACTTCTCTGTATGTAGTCATAAAAATTATGCAACACAAATTACTCGATTTCTTTTAAAATTATTTACATGTGCACCCTAAAGTGGCATATTTATCAGTTCAATGTACTAATAAAATAATGTTACATGTAGAAGTTGAAATGGAGGCTTGTCATACCCTTTTTTCAGAATTTTGGGTCCTCCATGCTCTTCAACTTCATACTTTATTTTGCCTTTTAATATTTTTTATTGTAGAACATTGATGTTTGAGTCTTTTTTAGATGAAACTTGTGTATGGCATATTCAACATTTTAAGCGTGGTTTCTATGATGAGTTTATATACTTTTTAGATTGAACTCAGCTTGCATAAATTTACGAATGCCATATACATGATATAAATACATTGTGTACTTGGTCAGAGGATTCTCATTTAATAAATATTGAGAGACATTAAATTCACCAGAAATGAGGGAAAATGATATTAAATCTTAATATGTGTGATTCACACAACATTGAAGAACTAGTAAGAGACTAACATTCTGTGTTTTAAAAAAGTTGATATTTCATTGAGGACAAAGAGGAATAGTAAAGCCATTTAAGAAAATGATAAACCATCGTTTTGACTACAACTTAAAGAAAGAATAAAAAAATGGAATTTGATAACAAAAGTAAATACATTTATCTACAGAACAAATATACAGATCCATTTTTAAGAGGGTAATTTTTATGATTTTTATTGCGAACCCAATGAAAGTTTTCCACAGTGTCATCTCTATCTTGACCAGGTATTTAAACTTTTGCATGTTCACCTGTCCTATTGAATAGATACAATAGCTATTGTTCTCTGTGTAGTTTATTCTCTGGGACCTTTAAATTTCTTCTAAGAGAAATCTATCACTCATTGATTAAATTACTTGAGTAAAAAAAATTTCTTATATATAGACAAAAATACTGTTTTTATACTCATTAACTGTGTGTGATGATGTAGTTATTCAATATTAATAATATATTTTCATTCAGTTTAATATAAACATTGATTCAATCATAAAAACTTTCAACATTGTTCCTTTTAAAAAAAAATTTGTTTGACATGAATAAGAACTTGAAAATAATGATGTTTCAAATTAAGATCTTCTTAAATGTATTCTATAACTAAACAAAAAAAAATCAAATTTCAATAGGAACATTGATAAAACTTTTGTTAGAAATCAACTTTTTATGATTGAATCAATGTTTATATTAAACTGAATGTAAATATATTATTAATATTGAAAAAATACATCAGCACACGCAATTAATGAGTATAAAAAAGTATTTTTGTCTATATATAAGAATTTTTTTTTACACAGGTAATTTAATCAATGAATGATAGATTTCTCTTAGAAGAAATTTAAAGGTCCCAGTGAATAAACTACACAGAGAAAAATAACTATTGTATTCATTCAATAGGACAGGTGAACTTGCAAAAGTTTAAATACCTGGTCAAGATAGAGATGGCACTGTGGAAAACTTTCATTGGGTTCGCAATAAAACATAACACAATTAATGTATTAGAAAAACCTGTATGTTAAAAACATAAACAACACAATGTACTAGAAAAACTTGTAAGAGAATAATGAATATCATATTTGAAAACTTTTTGAAAAAAAAACAGATAGCTTACACAAAAGTAACCCTATAGATTATTGGAAATATATTGATAAACTTAAAGATAAGATAGATTCAATACCAAGAAAAGCAAATTTATAGTCATGTCAGATTCAACTCTTTTGACGGTATAAGCAATCATGAAAAAAGCTAGGTCTTAAGAAATCATATATTAAAACAGAAATTTAAACTAGATGATCTAGAGAAGGAAAATTTTGTAATGAGCTTGATTATGAAATTATGAAAGAGGCCATTATTGCAGATATTTAAAGTCCTAAAAATGACACCGCTTAGATGTGGTTTTAGTAAAATAATCTATCTGCTGTTATTGAATGTAGTCAAACCATCCTTTGTATAAGTTTATTGAAAGTGTTTAATGAGGTTTTTTTCAGGGTGTATCCTAAATTGTTGTCATCAGGTTACATGTTATTGTACATAACACCAATGTATAAAAAAAAGTCAATATTTGATCCCTCTAACATGTCTTATTAAAGGAGAATCCCTGTAAGTGAAAAATTAGTAAATTGTCAATAAGATACTTGACAGTGGACTGAATACCTATATTTGAATAATTTTATTTGTATATAGCAGATTGGCAGTGACTGTCATGCAACAGACTACAGATTTGTTTTGAATACACTCATTAATGAATGTATAAAAAATGGATAAAAAGAATTATATACATGTTTTATGGACTTCAAATGTAAGTTTGACTCTGTACTTCACATGAATTTATTCTATACCTAAAAATAAATAGGGTTGGCTCCAAATTTTTGAGTATAATAAAATCTGTGTACAAAAATATACAGGTACATGTACATGATCATACTGATGTATGCATAAAAATCGAAAAAACAGAATATCACAGCATTCTTTAAATCTACTATTAAAGTTAGACAAGGTGATAATCTAAATCCTCTGCTATTTAATTTGTGTATAAGTAATCTACACAATGTACCTGATCAATTAGATTCATCATGTGACCTAGTATCACTTGATAGCTCCTACATTAATTGTCTTAACTACATGTATGCAGGTGTAAACAACAAGTAAATCACAAAACTGTACCAATAAACTACAAAAATGTATAAAATGCTGTATGTTGTTTATTCTACATTTGCTAGAGGTATAGGGGGAGGGTTGAGATCTCACAAAACATGTTTAACCCGCCTCATTTTTGTCATTGTCCCAAGTCAGGAACCTCTGGCCATTGTTAGTCTTGTATGCTTTTTTAATTTCTGTTTATTTATATGTTTCAGAGTTTAGTGTGATGTCCATTTTCTATGAACTAGTACACATTTTTGTATTGGGGCCAGCTGATGCCCGCCTCTGTGTGCAGGATTTTCTCGCTGTGTTGAAGACCCTTTGGTGGCCTTGGGCTATTTTCTGCTCTTTGGTCGGGTTGTTGTCCTTTTGACACATTCACTGTTTCCATTCTCATTTTTAAGTTTGCATAAGATTGGGAGCTAGGTATAAATATTGAAAAAAAACTAAAGTTTCATATCTTTAACAAGTCCGATAGATTTAAAGAATATATATTTTAAAAATAATGATGTGAACAAAAAAAGTGTAAAAAGGTATCATTTTTTAGGTGTCAGCTTTTCAGCTTCAGGTACCAATTCCTATGCTAAACAAAACCTCCATAAAAGGGCTTAAAGGCATACTTAAAATTATGTAAAGCTTTTGCATCCTCTTAACCAAAAGTTTCATCCCTTATGTATGTTTTCCATCATACAGTTAAAACATTCTCATTACATATATATGGCTTAGAAATTGGGGAAAGTTTTCCAGCTGATAAATTTAAGAATGAACAAATGAGAGTTTTGTCAGAAGAAATAGACAAACTAGTCATGGAGAAAATACCCCCCTTATTTCTGTAAAATCAAATACTACTTACGTTGGAGTACAGGGTGAACTTGGGAGTTAACAATATTGGATAAGACTCCAGGATGTAAAGCTTGGAAATAATGTCAAAAACAGTGTTATATCATTAGCTGATAGGGGACTTTGGTGGCCAAGTGGTCTAAGTAGTCCATCTACTACATCACTAGCCTGTCAACACTGAGGTAGTCAGTTCTAATCCTGCACATGGCCAGTGCTTTCGACTCCAATCTTAATTAACTAGGATTGTCAGGTTTTCCATCCAAAGGTTGTGGTTCTCTCCGGGCACTTCAACTTCCTCCACCAATAAAAACTGACCGTCACAAAATAGCCAATAGGGCTGAAAGTATCGTTAAACAACAATTAATCAATAAACCATTAGCTGATAGGACATCATGCTCTATGTTTCTAGATAATAAAGTATCAAGGGTTGGTCTTCATCGATTTTTTAGATTTTAAAATTTTTAAAAATTTCAATAATTATAAAAGAACTTATATAATTATAAATTGAATATAAACTGAAAATAAAATGTAATAAGATATACATGGATATAGACGAAGGAAACAAAATAAAAATTAGGAGATGTTGTATCATTGCCAATGAGACAACTATCCACCATAGTCCAATGACATGGATGTAAGCAACTATAAGTCACTGTACAGCTTCAACAATGAGCAAAACCCATACTGCCTTGCATGCTTTAAAAAGCCCTGACATGACAAAATGTAAAACTATTCAAATAATAATAATAATAATAATAATAATAATAATAATAATAAATTATTTATTTAAAGAGGGTAAACACAGTTAGTTACAATTACTAATCTTCCCTGAGGTCCTCATATACAATACAAATAAAAAAATAATAATAAGAGAAAAAAGCAAACATACAACATATTAACACATAGTCAGTTCACAATTGTATAGTCATGATAGTTCAGTGTACATGTACCATTAGAACATGTAA